CCCCTCCATCCCCACCCTCCCCGGTCCTGGGTCCTGCTCTGTAGTCACCGGCTGAGCGCACTGCCTTGGGTGGACCAGGCCACCCCGACACACAGCCCCCTGGGGGGTGAGACTGCACATCACCTGCACCCCTTCCCTTCACCCCGTCCCTTCACCCCAATTTGCCTCTGATGCAGGGCGGGGCCAACGGCCCAAGTTCCACCCGCCCAGACTCTGGCTGCTGGGCTGCCTTCTCCGGCCCGGAGTCCGCACCGGCCTCCACTTTGCCAGTCCAAACACCCAGCGTTTGGGGGCACAGGGAGGAGGGGACGGCGCCCCTGGAGCGCCCCCCCACCCCCGCCCAGCAGCAAACAGAGGAATGCTCGGATCTGACGGGTTCGGAGCCCGCCTCCGCTGGTCCTCCCGGCCCCTCCCTCGTTTCCATGGCGCCTGGAGATCTCCCCGCCCCCAGGAGCCCTGGGGAGCAGCTGGTGCTGACGGTGCCCATGGCCATGTGCTGGCAGCCACCCTCCGCGCCCAGGCCAGGCTCTGGCTCTGCGCCTGCCAGAACTCATGCCTAAAGATGGCTGAGGCCGGTGCCCTGAAGTCCCCACCCAGCCACCCCCTGTCCCTGCAGGCCTGGGGGGTCCCCAGTGCCCTTGGCTGCTGTGCCCAGCCTCTTGCCTCTCTGGGGAAGCAGGAGCCCTGCCCCACTCCCTTCTGCTGGTGGGAGGAGGGGACAGGTCCCAAACCACTGGTCTGGGCATGGACGGGCAGGGGCTGTACCTCCCCCAACTTCCAGGGACTCCCGGATCCTGACTCCCGAGGGCCAGGCCTGGAGGGTGGAGGCTGGACTTGGAGGAGTTTGGTGGCTGCCCTTCTGCCCAGAGACTGCCTTCGCGGGTGGGTGAGGGGGCACCCCCTGCTGGTGACTGTTCACGCTGCCACCTCGGGTCAGCAAAGGTTTGTTGGATGGACATCTGCTGCGGCCAAGGCCCACCCTGGTGCTGGCCAAGACCAAGTCGTCCCGCCTCGCACTCAGCTCCAAGCAGAGACGGCCAAGAAACGGGCTTATAGCCGGTGTGACCAGTGACAGAGCAGCTCAGAGACAGGCGGCAGCAGGGATGGGGGATTTGAGGACCACACTCGACTTGAAGCGAACCCTCTGCTGGCCCCCTTTCCCATCCTCTGGATATAGAGAGCCAGCCCCGCCCACCACCATAGGCTGCGGGACCTCCAGCCAAGGAGCAGAGGTGCGGGGACCCCGAGTGCTCGAGCTGGGAGCCCCTCCCCAGCAGCCGCCAGCCTCGCAGAGCCAGCCGCTGTGTGGAAAGTGCCAGGTGCTTTCTGATCTGTCATCAAACAAGCGCCCGGTGAGTGATGTTCCGGAGGCTCGGGGCTCGCCGGGGCCTGGCGGAGGAACTGAGGTGCCACAGCTCGGCCTGGCAGAGGGACGGGTGAGGGCGGCCAGCCTGGAGACACCCGCCCTCCCTGCTCAAGAGCACCAGCCCCACTCGCAGCCCAGGCCTGGCATCACCAGGGAACGTGGCCTGGCCGAACGCTGGCTGAATGCGCATGAAGCCCATCATGGTGGGGACAGCAGGCCAGCGCCCCCCTTCCCAGAGGGCACCCCTACAAGGCCATGCTGAGCACAGGCGGGCCCCGCGCACCCACTTGGCCAGGAGGCTGCTGTGAGCGAGGCAGGCCAGGGCCCAGGCCTGGAGGAGCCCACGCTGTGGCGTCAGCGGGTGGCCACACAGGAGTGACCACAGGAAAACAGACGCTGGGAGCGCCAGTGGAGGGGGCAGCTCCACCGGGACCTGAGGGTGACAGACAGACAGACGTGTGCAGATCACCCAGGACTGTGGTCGCCGCGTTAGAACCCCAGTTTGATGGTGGGGAGCCTGTGGCCCTGCTGTCCCCTGTCACCTGCCCCGTGCCTCCCTCCTTCGATGAGAGGAGCCCGCAGGAAAGGGTGTCCACACTGGGCTCTGGAGGCAGTGCACACCCCAGATTCTGCAAGTTCCTCCACGAGCACAGACAGGCTCTGGGGAATCACCAGTGGCCTCTGGCCTCGCCTTCCGAACTCCGGATGCACCTGAGTTAAACCAGAGGCCACCAGCTGGGCTGAGCTCCGAGTCCCGAGGATGGACAGACCTGGGTTCCACCCTGACGTCCGCAGCGGTCAGCAGGCGACAAGGACAGCGCTGCGAGTTCTCACGTTGCATCTGCAGCCGCGTGTAAATAGGTTTTACTTTTGTTTTGGGGAAGAAGCGGTATCGCCAATGCCCACCTCTTCCTGGCCCTCCGCCCGCACTGCCTCCCTCAGCGCACAGGCCTCTGGCTGCCCGGCTGGGGCCAGAGACCCGGGAGCCACGAGGCCTGTCCCCCGGATTCGGAGGGCTGGCGAGGAGTGTCCGCAGGAACTGCCGGTTGCATCCGCTGTGCCAGGGGGATGAGAGCGAGGCCCGCGAGCTGTCCTGTGGAGTTTGAGGAGCAGCGTGCTGGCAGGAGGACACGTCAGTGGACACACTGACCCCAGAACTAAGGACACTAGGTCCTGGTCCAAGTGGCCAAAGCGCACGGGCCTCCGTTTCTTCATCTGCTGCAGGGAGAGGGCTGTTCCCAATCGCCAGTGGGCCAGGCAGCTGGCAGGACCCACAAATATGGGGCTGAGCTCTGACCTGGTGGGACTTGGGGGGTGGGCAGCGGGGGCCCTGGGCTGGCCCTGACCACAAGGTGGCTGGGTGGGTGGGAGGGAGCCTGAGGGCCGGCAGAGCTGCCGACGGACGAAGCCTGGTGTGCGGCGGGCGCCAGTCTGGGCCGAGCGCACTTGGCGTTGTGTGTCCCCGTCTCCAATAAAGTCTTGTGGTGACCTGGCCCGGGCCTCGCCTCTGAGCCTGCTCGATGCCCACACGGGAGCACGAGGTGGGTCCGGGACCATCTCCCACACAGCGTGGACCCCGGGGGCTGGGCTGCGGGGTGACCCCGGCTGCTCTACCTGTGCGTCCCATCAGGGTCCCCAGGGTGACAGATGATCCCTGTGGGTCCCTTGTGGCTGGGGCTGGAGTCCTGAGGAGCTGCGAGTCTTAAGAACAGCCCCTAATGGCTATTTATTCACAAATCAAT